GGTGAGTGGGTGGTGAGTGGGTGGTGAGTGGGTGGGTGAGTGGGTGGGTGAGTGGGTAGGTGAGTGGGTGGGTGAGTGAGTGAGTGAGTGATTGACTGAGTGAGTGGGTGAGTGAGTGGGTGAGTGAGTGGGTGGGTGAGTGGGTGAGTGGTGAGTGAGTGAGTGAGTGGTTGGTGAGTGAGTGGGTGGGTGAGTGGGTGAGTGAGTGGGTGAGTGAGTGAGTGAGTGGGTGGGTTGGTGGTGAGTGGGTGAGTGGGTGGGTGGGTGGTGAGTGGGTGAGTGGGTGGGTGGGTGGTGAGTGGGTGAGTGGGTGGTGAGTGGGTGGGTGAGTGGGTAGGTGAGTGGGTGGGTGAGTGAGTGAGTGAGTGGGTGGGTGAGTGGGTGGGTGAGTGAGTGAGTGCGTGGGTGAGTGGGTGGGTGAGTGAGTGAGTGAGTGGGTGGGTGAGTGGGTAGGTGAGTGGGTGGGTGAGTGAGTGAGTGAGTGGGTGGGTGAGTGAGTGAGTGAGTGGGTGGGTGAGTGGGTGAGTGGGTGGGTGAGTGAGTGAGTGGGTGGGTGAGTGGGTGAGTGGGTGGGTGAGTGAGTGAGTGGGTCGGTGAGTGAGTGGGTGAGTGAGTGAGTGGGTGGGTAGGTGAGTGGGTGGGTGAGTGGGTGAGTGAGTGAGTGAGTGGGTGAGTGAATGGTGAGTGGGTGGTGAGTGGGTGGGTGGTGAGTGGGTGAGTGAGTGGGTGAGTGGGTGAGTGAGTGGGTGAGTGGGTGAGTGGGTGAGTGAGTGGATGAGTGGGTGAGTGGGTGAGTGAGTGGGTGAGTGAGTGGGTGAGTGGGTGAGTGAGTGGGTGAGTAGGTGAGTGTGTAGGTGAGTGGGTGAGTGGTGAGTGGGTGGTGAGTGAGTGGGTGGGTGAGTAGGTGAGTGGGTGAGTGAGTGGGTGAGTGGGTGAGTGAGTGGGTGAGTGGGTGAGTGGGTGGGTGAGTGGGTGAGTGAGTGGGTGAGTGGGTGAGTGGGTGAGTGAGTGGGTGAGTGGGTGAGTGGGTGGGTGAGTGGGTGAGTGAGTGGGTGAGTGGGTGAGTGAGTGAGTAGGTGAGTGGGTGAGTGGGTGAGTGAGTAGGTGAGTGGGTGAGTGAGTGGGTGAGTGGGTGAGTGGGTGAGTGAGTGGGTGGGTGAGTGGGTGAGTGGGTGGGTGAGTGGGTGAGTGAGTGGGTGAGTGGGTGAGTGAGTGAGTGGGTGAGTGGGTGAGTGAGTGGGTGAGTGGGTGAGTGGGTGGGTGAGTGGTTGAGTGAGCGGGTAAGTGGGTGAGTGAGTGCGTGGGTGAGTGAGTGGGTGAGTGGGTGAGTGGGTGGGTGAGTGGGTGAGTGGGTGGGTGAGTGGGTGAGTGAGTGGGTGAGTGGGTGAGTGAGTGAGTAGGTGGGTGGGTGAGTGCGTGAGTGGGTGAGTGGGTGGGTGAGTGGGTGAGTGGGTGAGTGAGTGAGTAGGTGAGTGGGTGAGTGAGTGGGTGAGTGGGTGAGTGAGTGGGTGAGTGAGTGAGTGAGTGGATGAGTGGTGAGTGGGTGGTGAGTGGGTGAGTGAGTGGGTGAGTGGGTGAGTGAGTGGGTGAGTGAGTGGGTGAGTGGGTGAGTGAGGGGGTGAGTGGGTGAGTGGGTGAGTGAGTGGTGAGTGGGTGGGTGAGTGGTGGGTGAGTGAGTGGGTGAGTGAGTGGGTGATTGGGTGAGTGAGTGGGTGAGTGGGTGAGTGGGTGAGTGAGTGGGTGAGTGGGTGAGTGGGTGAGTGAGTGGGTGAGTGAGTGGGTGAGTGGGTGAGTGAGTGGTGAGTGAGTGGGTGAGTGAGTGAGTGGGTGAAGGGGTGAGTGAGTGAGTGGGTGAGTGAGTGGGTGAGTGAGTGGGTGGGTGAGTTAGTGAGTGAGTAGGTGACTGAGTGAGTGGTGAGTGGGTGAGTGGGTGAGTGAGTGAGTGAGTGGGTGAGTGAGTGAGTGGTGGGTGAGTGTGTGAGTGAGTGAGTGAGTGGGTGAGTGAGTGGGTGACTGAGTGAGTGGGTGGGTGAGTGAGTGAGTGAGTGGGTGAGTGAGTGAGTGGGTGGGTGGGTGAGTGAGTGGGTGAGTGAGTGAGTGAGTAGGTGACTGAGTTAGTGGTGAGTGGGTGAGTGAGTGGGTGAGTGAGTGAGTGAGTGGGTGAGTGAGTGAGTGGTGGGTCAGTGGGTGAGTGAGTGGGTGAGTGAGTGGGTGACTGAGTGAGTGGGTGAGTGAGTGGGTGACTGAGTGAGTGGGTGGGTGAGTGAGTGAGTGGGTGAGTGAGTGAGTGGGTGGGTGAGTGAGTGTGTCTGTGTGTGTGTGTGTAACTGTGTGTGTCACTGTATGTGTTGTGTGTATTTATGTGTAACTGTGTGTCTGTGTATGTGTAACTGTGTATGTCTGTGTGTGTGTGTGTGTGTATGTGTGTGTGTAACTGTGTGTGTGTAACTGTGTGTGTGTGTCTGTGTGTGTATCTATGTGTGTGTGTAACTGTGTATGTATGTATGTGTGTAACTGTGTGTGTAACTACGTATGTATCTATGTGTGTGTGTATGTGTGTCTGTGTGTATCTATGTGTGTAACTGTGTGTGTGTATCTACGTGTGTATGTGTAACTGTGTGTGTATCTATGTATGTGTGTGTAACTGTGTGTGTATGTATGTGTGTGTAACTGTGTGTGTATGTATGTGTGTGTGTAACTGTGTATGTATCTACGTGTGTAACTGTGTGTGTATGTATGTATGTGTAACTGTGTGTGTATGTATGTGTGTGTAACTGTGTGTGTGTATGTGTGTGTGTGTATGTGTGTGTAACTGTGTGTGTTTATCTGTGTGTATGTGTAACTGTGTGTATGTGTGTAACTGTGTGTAACTGTGTGTGTGTGTAACTGTGTGTAACTGTGTGTGTAACTGTGTGTGTGTGTGTAACTGTGTGTGTGTATGTATGTGTAACTGTGTGTAACTGTGTGTAACTGTGTGTGTAACTGTGTGTGTGTCTATGTGTGTGTGTGTGTAACTGTGTGTAACTGTATGTGTGTGTGTATGTATGTGTAACTGTGTGTGTAACTGTGTGTGTAACTGTGTGTAACTGTGTGTATGTATGTGTAACTGTATGTGTATGTATGTGTAACTGTGTGTATCTGTGTGTATGTGTAACTGTGTGTATGTGTAACTGTGTGTATGTGTAACTGTGTGTATGTGTGTAACTGTGTGTGTGTATCTGTGTGTATGTGTAACTGTGTGTATGTGTAACTGTGTGTATGTGTGTAACTGTGTGTGTGTATCTGTGTGTATGTGTAACTGTGTGTGTCTAACTGTGTGTGTATAACTGTGTGTGCGTATGTGTATCTGTGTGTATGTGTATCTGTGTGTATGTGTAACTGTGTGTAACTGTGCCTAACTGTGTGTGTGTCTATGTGTATGTGTATAACTGTGTGTATGTGTATGTGTAACTGTGTGTGTAACTGTGTGTGTGTGTAACTGTGTGTAACTGTGTGTGTAACTGTGTGTAACTGTGTGTGTAACTGTGTGTATGTGTGTAGCTGTGTGTGTAACTGTGTGTATGTGTAACTGTGTGTAACTGTGTGTAACTGTGTGTGTATAACTGTGTGTAACTGTGTGTGTGTGTAACTGTGTGTGTGTATGTATGTGTAACTGTGTGTAACTGTGTGTATGTGTGTAACTGTGTGTATGTGTATCTGTGTGTATGTGTAACTGTGTGTAACTGTGTGTAACTGTGTGTGTATGTGTAACTGTGTGTGTGACTGTGTGTGTGTGTAACTGTGTGTGTATAACTGTGTGTGTATGTGTATCTGTGTGTATGTGTGTAACTGTGTGTGTGTGTGTGTCTATGTGTATGTCTGTGTGTATGTGGATCTGTGTGTGTGTGTAACTGTGTGTAACTGTGTGTAACTGTGTGTGTGTGTGTAACTGTGTGTGTAACTGTGTATAACTGTGTGTGTGTATGTGTGTGTGTAACTGTGTGTGTATAACTGTGTGTCTATGTGTATGTGTAATTGTGTGTGTAACTGTGTGTATGTGTAACTGTGTGTGTAACTGTGTGTGTGTGTATGTATGTGTAACTGTGTGTATAACTGTGTGTGTATAACTGTGTGTAACTGTGTGTAACTGTGTGTATGTGTAACTGTGTGTGTAACTGTGTGTAACTGTGTGTAACTGTGTGTGTGTCTATGTGTGTGTGTAACTGTGTGTGTAACTGTGTGTGTGTGTGTGTAACTGTGTGTGTAACTGTGTGTGTGTGTGTAACTGTGTGTGTAACTGTGTGTGTAACTGTGTGTGTAACTGTGTGTGTGTCTATGTGTATGTGTATAACTGTGTGTGTGTGTAACTGTGTGTGTAACTGTGTGTGTGTGTAACTGTGTGTAACTGTGTGTGTGTGTAACTGTGTGTAACTGTGTGTGTAACTGTGTGTGTGTGTAACTGTGTGTGTAACTGT